TAGCCCTCAAGGCTTGAAAATAATCCTCTGTTCTGAGACCATTTACACAATGGCCCTGCCCTCCAGACTCTAGGTATTCTGAGTGGAGGCCCCTCGGCCCTGGGCTTCAGCTCTACCTTCCAGGCCCACTGGGATGGCAACTCTGCTCCCTCAGCTTTAGGTGCACCATTCTCCTAGTCCATCTGAGTGGTGACTCCACCCTTAGAGACACCAGAGGCCATGGCTCCACCCTTTGAAACCCCAGAGATCGTGGCCATACCTTTTGAGATTTAGGCAGTTCAGCTTCCTGTGTTCCTTGTCTCTGCAGCTCCTTCTTCCTGGTTACTTGGTCTCTTGGCCCTCAGGCCTGATGCCCGCATCTGCCCTGCTTGGGCAAGTGTTCCAAAGCTCAGTAGCTCCATCAATAAGTGTCTGGAGGCACCCCACTCTGCCAGGAAGCCTCTTGCACACAGGCACTCAGCTTTCTTACTCTGTGGGTCAGCAAGCCTAGCTCCATCATTAAGTGCCCGGAGGCACCCCACTCTGCCAGGAGGCCTCCTGTGCATAGGAACTCAGCTCCCTAGCTCTGTGGGTCAGCTCCAGTGCTGTCTGGTACTGGGCTCCTGGTTCTGCTGCTGCCAGTTCTCTGCTATTTCTCACCATCGCACCTTGTCCAGTGTTAACAGTTCTCACTTCCTTCTGATTCTTCTATCCAGTTTCAAAACCGCTTCCACATTTAGGTATCTGTTAGAGCAGCACCCCACTCTTGGTGCCAAATTCTGTCTTACTCATCTAGTGCTGCTATAACAGAAATACCATAAGTGGACGGCTTTAACAAAGAGCAATTTATTTTCTCCCAGTCTAGTAGGCTAGAAGTCCAAATTCGGGGCATCAGCTTCAGGGGAAGGCTTTCTCTGTCAGCTCTGGAGGAGGGTCTTGCTGTCCATCTTCCCCTGGACTAGGAGCTTTTCTGCGCAGGAACCCCCAGTCCAAAGGATGTGCTCTGCTCCTGGCACTGCTTTCTTGGTGGAATGAGGTCCTCCTCTTCTGCTTGCTTCCCTTTCATCTCTTGTAAGATAAAATGTGGTGCAGGTCACACTCCCGGGAAACTCCCTTTACATTGGATCAGGGATGTGACCTTAGTAAGGATGTTACAATCCCATCCTAATCCTCTTTAACATAAAATTACAGTAACAAAATGGAGGACAACACAATGCACAAAATCATGGCCTAACCAAGTTGACACATATTTTGGGGGGACACAATTCAACCCATGACACATGTTAAAGCAGAGGGTCAGTGAAAAAGAGGAAGACCCTCAACAGGATGTACTGACACAGTGGCTGCAACAGTGGGCCCACCAAACATAGCCACAATTGTGAGGATGGCACAGGACTGGGCAATGTTTCATTCTGTTGTACACAGGGTTTCTATGAGTTGGAACTGACTCGACAGCACCTAACAACATGCCTGTGGTTATAATCCCATTTGGGAATAAGTTGTCTTTGTTACGTTAACGAGACAGGGTTAGTATAGGGTGTGTCTTGAATCAATCTCTTTTGAGATATAAAAGATTAAACAAGCATTCAAAAAGCAGAGATTGGGGAAGAGAGATGCCAAGCCAGGAGCAGAAGCTAAAAGAGACAAGGACCTTCCTCCAGAGCCCACAGAGAAAGGTAGCCTTCCTGTAGAGCTGGCACTCTGAATCTGGACTTTTAGCCTCCTAAACAGTGAGAAAATAAATTTGTTTCTTAAAGCGACCCACTTGTGGTATATCTGTTGTAGCAGCATGAGATAACTAAGGCCAATACCTCAAAATAAATTTAAACAGGGATGTAAAAGATGTGTATGCTGGAAACTATAAAACGTTGTTAGTTGTCATCCAGTTGATTGTGATTCATGGTGACCCCATGTGTGCAGAGAACTGCACCATAGTGTTTTCAAGGCTGTGACCACATGGAGCGTATCACCAGGCCTGTCTTCTGAGGTGCCACTGAGTGGGTTCGAACCACCACCATTTTGGCTAGCAGTTGGGTGTTTAACCATTTGTGCCACTGAAAGAAATTACAGAAGATCTAAATAAATGGAAGGACATTCCATGCTGATGGATTGGAAGACTTAATATTGTTATGATGTCAATACTGCCCAAAGCAATCTATACATTCAATGCAATACCCAACAGCCTTCTTTACAGAAATAGAAGTCAATTCTCAAATTTATATGGAACTTCAAGGGGCCACAAATAGCCAATAAAATCTTGAAAAAGATGAACAATGTAAAAGGACTCACATTTGCCAATCTGAAAACACACTGTAAAGTTACAGTTATCAAGAGTCTGGTACTGATATAATGATAGACACAGACAAACGGAAAAGAATTGAAATAGCAGAAATAAACCTGCACATTTATGGTCATCTTCGACAGGGGTGCTAAGTCCATCCAATGGAGAAAGAATAGTCTCTTTAATGAATGGTACTGAGACAACTGGATTTTCACAAACAAAAGAATAAACCTGGATCCATAACTCACACCATATCAAAAACTAACTCAAAATGTATCAAAGACCTAAATGTAATAACTAAAACCATCTTCTTAGAAGGAAACACAGAGGTAATGCTTTTGGATTTAGTTTTCAACAACAGGTTCATTGATATTACATTGAAACATGACACACATAAGACAAAAAAAATTAGACCTCATCAAAATTAAAAACTTTTGCTCATCAAAGGACGTTATGAACAAAGTGGAGACAAGCTCCATATTGGGAGAAAATTTTTGGAACTATATTTCTGATAAGGGTTTAATATCCAGAATATATAAAGAACTCCAACTTAACTACAAAAATACAAATAACCCAATAAAAAAATAAGGATTTGAATAGATGTTTGACCAAAGAAAAAATACAAATGGCCAATAAGCACATGAAAAAATGCTGAACTTCATTAGTCACTAGTGAAATGCAAATAAAAATCACAACGACATATCACTTCATGCCCATAAGATGGCTGTGATTAAAACAACAGAAAACAGGTATTGGTGAGGATGTGGAAAAACAGAAACCCTCATGCATTGCTGGTGGGACTGTAAAATGGTACAGCCGTTGTGGAAAACAGTCTGTTGGTTCCTCAAAAAGTTAAACATAGAATTAGCATTAAAAAAACCTATTGCTGTCGAGTCGATTCCAACTCATAGCAACCCTATAGGACAGAGTAGAACTGCCCAACAGGGTCTCCAAGGAGTGGCTGTTGGATTTGATCTGCTGACCTTTGGGTTTGCAGCTCAGCTGTTAACCACTGCACTACCAGGGCTCCAGAATTACTATACAATCCAGCAATTCAACTTCTAGGTATACACCCAAAATAACTGAAAGCAGGAACACAAGCAGAAACTTGTACACCAGTGTTCACTGTCACACTAGTAATAATACCTAAAAGGTGGGAACAACCTTTGTTGATGAATCGATTAACAAAATCCGGTACATACGTATAATGGAATATTACTCAGCCATAAAGAGAAATGAAGTCCTGGTACATGGTACAAAATACACGGACCTTGAAAACATCATGCTGAGTGAAATAAGTCACAAAAGGACAAATATTGTATGATTCCATTATATGAAATATCTAATCAAGCATATAGAGATATAAGTGTATTAGTGGTTTTCAGGGGTAGGTAGTAGGGAGGGAAAAAGGGAAGCCTGATGCTTAGGGGAAACAGAAGTTCTAGTAAGGTTGATGGAAAAATCTGGAAAAAGATAATGTTGATGGTTGCACAATAAAATGTCACTAAATTGTACAAATAAAGAATGTTGGAATGGTAAATATTTTGTTACATACATATTTACCACACATACACAGAATTAAAAAAAAGAACTGGTTGTATGCCACTTTGGAGGTTTGGTCATAAAAGACATTTTGGCTGTTGCCTCGCTCTCTTTTAACTCACTCACTTTAGTAGGAAACCTCGTGCCATATCATGAAGACAGTCTGGTGGAGAGGCCTACATGGTGAGAAACTGAAGGTCTCCTGACAACAACTGGCAGTGCTTGGTAGACATGTGAATGAGCCTTCTCAGAAATGGACCTATCTGCCCTAAAGACTACAGGTTACTGCAACGCTGGTTGACATACTGATTGCAACCTCATAAAAGATTCTGAACCAGAACCACAGAAAAGCTGTTCTTGAATACCTGACCTACAGATACTGTGAGATAATAAATATATGTTTTAAGACTAAGTTTTCAGAGAAGTTTGCTATGCAACAGATAATCAATATATCTATTGTGAGTTCTCTCAAGTTTTCCAAAAAGTGATCAATGAATGCTTTCCAAGTTATTGCACTTATATCTACCTATCATGTATCCTCTTATGCACAGAAAGGTAAGAGTTACTGCTGAAGGCTTTTCCACATTGATTACATCCATAGGGTTTTTCTCCCGTGTGAGTTCTCATGTGTTTCTTAACAGATGAGAGATTATTAAATGCTTTTCCACAGTCATTGCATTCATAGGGTTTCTCTCCGTTATGTATTCTTTTGTGCACAGTAAGAGAAAAGCTACTGCTGAAGGATTTCCCACACTGATTACATTCATAAGGTTTTTCTCCAGTATGAGTTCTTATATGCTGTGTTAGATGTGAGCGCTTCCTGAAGGTTTTTCCACAATCATGACATTCATAAGGTTTCTCACCTGTATGAATTCTATTGTGCACAGTAAGGGAGGAGCTTGTGCTGAAGGCCTTTCCACACTGATTGCATTGATAATGATTCTCCCCAGTATGAACTCTCTTGTGTGTTTTGAGGCTACATCTAGTGCGGAAGACGTGAAAACACTGATTACATTCATAGGGTTTTTCACCAGTGTGAATTCTTACGTGCAGTCTAAGGGATGATAGATTACTGAAGGCTTTCTCACAGTCACTGCATTCATAGGGTTTCTCCCCATTATGTATTCTCTTATGAACAGTAAGGTAAGAGCTACTACTGAAGAATTTTCCACATTGGTTACAATCAAAGGGCTTTTCTCCGGTATGAATTCTCTTGTGCTGAGTAAGGTTCGATTTTGTGCTGAAGACTTTAAAACACTGATTACATTCATTGAGCTTCACTCCAAGATGACTTCTCTCCTGTTGATAAGAGACAAGTGATGACTAAAATTTCTAATATTTTTAATATTCAATGCTGTCACAGGAATTTTTCCCCCCAGGAATTCTATTATATATAACATTATTATAATATTGATGTCTTTACTACATTCAATGCTCATATATGGTTTCTGCCCAGTTTAAGCTCTTAGAAATTAAATAAGAATTTAAATGGATGCTCTGCCACAAGTCTATATTAAATTCACAGAGCATTCTCTGATAAATTTAAGATCAATTTATGTTTCAAACCCTCAATATATGAGTCACACTTATGAAAATTTTTACTCATGGGAGCTCTCAGTGATATACAAGTTTGGAGCTATTTAAACTTGTCTCCAAATTTACAAGTTTCATAGTATCTCTCCAGACACCACTTTCTCTTGGTTAAATGTCACTTGCCTTTAATGACCCTGCTGGTTATTTTGTGGTGCTTCTAATTTATAGAATTCTTCCATTGTGGAAAACCAGAACTCATCCATGTAGATCTTACCGTTTTCACACGTTTAGATTGTTTTTTAAAAACAGGCTGCTTAGAAATTAGCTCTTTGGCTTTAAGTACAGTCTCCACATCTGAAACAAATTGAAAATTAAATTGGTAGAGAAAAGAAATGATAAAATGGACACATAAAGACAAGCTCTCAGAAATTAAGGTTTATATGGAATTTCACAATGAAAGGGACATAGGGCATGGAAGATTTAGGTATTAAAAAAGCATTCTAGGAAGACTGAGATTGATGCTGATAGAAGTATATGAAGATTGAGATAGATGCTGACAAAAGGGAATTATCAGGAATGCAACCGGGAGGGAATTGGACAAAGACAAAGACCTCATATGAGACTGTTAAATTTATGGAAAACAGAAGGGTATTTTTTTCTCCCTCTTGAGGCTAAAGTATGAGATAATGAATGGCAGGTTAAAGATGAAATGTTCTCAACCTTCTTGTCAGAATAAACGGCATTTTATCAAGTTCACTGACTGACATTTCCTAACGTAACACTTCCACCCCACATTCACTGGCCAGAGCTGATCCTCATGCGGAACCTGGTGCTCACCTTGATAGGAACCTGGGAGAATTCTCTTTTTTGTCATCACTTGGTCTTCTTGCTCCAACTGGGAGATCAAACTGGGTTTATCAACTTGATTCCCTATCCCTGGAGAAAAAAGACATGATGTCGGGGGCCTGTGCAAGGTACAATAAGCCCCTCCATGAAACTGAAGCCAACATTTTTGAAGATGGGCAAATGTGACCTTAGGAACAGTGGGATAATCATGTCTAAATTCTAATGAACAGAGTAGATGTGCTTTCATAAGGAACAAAAATGCAAGTATCCTCCCTCAATATGCAGAGTGACTGGGGATAATTGGTCCCAGGAACTCATATCCAAGTCCTAATATACACTTAAGAAGCTTCAAAGCATTTAAACATGGAGAATCAAAGTCAGGGCAAGGGACATATCTTCAGTCCATAAGAAAGCAGTAGATAGCAAAGTCTATGAAGGTAGAGGTCATGTCTGTCTCGTTCACCAGTATCTTCTCAATTCCCAGCACAGATGCCGGAACATAGCAAGTGCTTTAGAAAGACTTCATGCCTAATGGATTAAATAAATGTAAGAATGGTGTTGGTCTTATCAAGTGATGCCAAATTCCTGCTGTTCTCTAGCTTCACATCTCTGTATAGTTGTCTCTGAGAAGGGTCCAGCAATACCCACCCCTCCTGAGTGAACTCCACAGCCACATCTTCAAAGGTCACCAAGTCCCACCATTGGAAACATCATGCTCAGCCAAAAACCACATCCACCAATGTCACAGGAAGAGGCCACGGCTGACAGAACTGGAAGAGGGGAACTCAAACCACAAGATGTATGCCAGACAAATGCTCTAGTCACACAAATTCACATGACTCACTGTCACAACTTGTTTAGGTCTCTGCTCAAATGCCCCTAAACTGACAAGCTTTGCCTTCCTATTCTATATAAATCAAGTCTCCAATCCCCTTTATCTCTCCTACAATGTATTATGGATTGAATGGTATCCCCAAAAAAGATATGTTGAAGTCCTAACCCCCAGCAGCTATGACCATAACCTTGTGTAGAAATAGAGTCTTTGAAGATGTTATCAGTTAACATAAGGTCATACAGGAGTAGGGTGGGTTCTAATTCAATCTGAGTGCTGTCCTTATAAAAAACAGACACAGAGAGACACACAGGGGGAAGATGGCCATGTGAAGATGTACCTAGTTCCTTGTAAACCAAGAAACACCACGAAATATTTGGGACTACCAGAAGCCAAGAAAGACAAAAAAGGATCTTCCTGTAGAGCCTGTGGAGAGAGCATGACTCTGCCGATACCCTGAACTCAGACTTCTAAGTTCTAGAACTATAAGAGAATAAATTTTTGTTTTTTAAAGCCATTCACTCTGAGGTACTTTGGTACAGAAGCCCTAGGAAACCAATATACAAAGTTTTATTTTTCTGTATAACACAATCACAGATTTTCCTATAATCTGTCCTTCCTCCATTAGGATGAGAGTGCCTCAATGATGAAACTTTAGTTTCATTCAGTGCTACAGACATAGGGTCTCGGAGAGTGCTTGGCACATGTGATTTACTCAATAAATAGGCTAGTGGTTAAGAGCATGGAATGCCTAGGTTTGAAACTGGGCTCTACAACTTACTAGCCAGTGAACTATGGCAAGTAACTCAAATGTACTGTGTCAGTTTACTCATCTGTAAAATGGAGTTAAACAGTACATATTTCAAAGCTTATGAGTACTTGGTCAATATTCACAAAGCACTTAGAAGATTCTCTCGTCTTTGGGAAGTGCTATACAAATATTTGATCTTTCGTTAATGTATTACAATTCTTTGTAATAAAAAATATGGTCTTTACACGAAAGGAATGATTCACAAGAAAATTTCTAAACCTGCATGCACCTAGTTACATTGCATCAAAATGTTTAAAGCAAAAATGACAGAATTACAGGAAGAATTTTTAAATTTACAACCATAGTGGAAGATTTTAATACACCTCTATAACTAAATCAGGACAAGAGAAAAAAAGTATATTCTACATTTGAAAACACAATTAGCTTGAGTTAATGGACATATACACTGTATCCCAAAATTAGAGAATATTGTTTTCAAAGAAACATAGAATTACTTATAACAATTGACCAACTAAACAGTTTATCAGCTATATATTGCATTCAGCTGAAGGTTAACAATGACCTCAAAAACAAACAAAAAAATTACTTTGGCTTTAATCAGTTGCGTTGTTGTTGTTAGGTGCAGTCGAATCAGTTCCGACTCACAGCGACCTTATGTACAACAGAACGAAACGCTACCTGGTCCTGCACCATCCTTACAATCGTTTGAATCCATTGTTGCAACCACTGTGTCAATCCAGCTCGTTGAGGGTCTTCCTATTTTTCACTGACCCTCTACTTTACCAAGCATGATGTCTTTCTCTAGGGAATGGTCCTTCCAGACAACATGTCCAAAGTACGTGAGACAAAGTCTTGCCATCCTTGCTTTTATGGAGCATTCTGGCTGTTCTTCCAAGACAGATTTGTTCTTTCTTCTGGCAGCCCTTGGTATACTCAATATTCTTCACAAACACTGTAATTCAAAAGCATAAATTTTTCGGTCCTCCTTATTCATTGTCCAGCTTTCCCATGTGCATGAGGTGATTGAAAATACCATGGCTCAGGTCAGGCACACCTTAGTCCTCAAAGTGATATCCATGCTTTTTAATAGTTTAAAGAGGTCTTTTTCAGCAGATATACCCAATGCAATACATTGTTTGATTTCTTTACTGCTGCTTCCATGGGTGTTGATTGGGATCCAAGTAAAATGAAATCCTTGACAATGTCAATATTTTCTCCGTTTATCATGATGTTGCTTATTGGTCCAGTTGTGAGGATTTTTGTTTTATGTTGAGGTGTAATCCATACTGAAGGCTATAGTCTTTGACCTTCATCAGTTAATGCTTCAAGTCCTCTTCGCTTTCAGCAGGCAAGGTTGTGCCATCTGCATATCACAGGTTGTTAATGAGTCTTCCTCTAATCCTGATTAATAAATTCGTCATATATTAATCACTTAGGGGTTACTTTTAATCATGAAAGGTGAACTCTAGAAATAAAAGTTGAGTTGATGCAACCAATCGGGTTTTGGGGGAGCTAGAATCATTGTGATTTTTTGCTGCACTGTGGTTTTTTTCATCATGGTCAAAATATGGCTCTTTCAACTCCAGGCCTGTGTTCACTCAGAAAGAATTGGTAAGATAAAAAGAAAATAGGTGAGGAGTACAAGCCAAATGGTGTTTCCCTCAGTGACTTTTACCTACTTGTTATGAACAACAGAGTGGAAAAAAGACTCTCCAGGCTTCAGCAAAGTTTGGTACATTGAGTATCTTCAGTACTGCTTACTGACAACTTGAACAAAATTTTTCCTACTTAAGTAATGAAGGGAAAATGGATGGGAAAGAAACAAATGGTACTTGCCATACTAAGACAGAAAGATAAAAAGAATCAATACCATAAAGTTCACGCAGTCTGAGAAAAATTCTATTAAATTAGAAAAGAAGTATATCGTAAAGATTGTCTTTCCATTTGCCAAACTAAATCACTCAGAAGCTATACAGAAACATATTTCTGAATGTGCAATGCACTGCTATTTTTAGAGTTCATTTTGATAAATATATTGCAAACAAAGTTATGTAATGTAATTTAAGGTTTATTTGAAGAGTTATTATGTTTACGTTAAAACAAAACACTGAAATTAATGAGCTAGAAGCCCATAAGGATGAGACACTGTTAAAGGTCAGCCCACACTTATACTATTTATACTTTTCATTCTTAGTATAAATTACTTCGTGGCCACTCAGTGAAGAGTTGAAGCTAAAGCATCCTTATACCAAATATATTTCTAGGGATTCCCTCCAGTGTGAGTTCTCCAAACTCAGATGTAAAACCAAGAGAGGAATTACTGAAGGTGTTCCCACAATTAATACACTCATACGTTTTGCATCCAGGGAAGGTTTTCATATTTTTCTTAATGTAAGAGGCATCTTTGGAAATGTTCCCTTATTCTTTATACTCATGTTATTTGCCAGAGTGAGTTCTCACATGCTTCCTTAGGAAGGTAGGAAAACGGAAGGCCTTTTAATACTGATGACATTCAGTAGGTCTTTCCAGTGTGAATACTCACCTTTCTTATGAGAGAATATTCAAGGCTTCCCAAAAGTCATTGCACTCAGAGTATCTTATCAAATTGTACTGTCTTATGTGCAGGAATGTGAATGCTCGACCTGTAGGCTTTTCCACATTTCTTATATACAAAGTATTTCTCTGTAATGTGATATCTCAAGTTTTTCAAGGGATAAGTTTCCCTAAATGCTTTTCCATTCCTATGACATTTACAGAGTAAATTACCATGTGACTCCCTGGAGATGAGACTGAAGAAGTCTTTCCGATAGCTATTACATCCTTTGGGTTTTTTCTAAGTACGTTTTGTGCACTATAGGGTGAGAGTTTGAGCTGAAGGTTTTACCAGAGATAATACACTCGTAAGATTTCTCTCCAGAGTGAGTTAATATGTGAGTTATTGAAAGCTATTCCATATTAATTAGATTAAAATGGTGATGGTCTTGCTGAAGTCTTTTTCTGTGCTTTTGTGGCTGGTCTCCAACATGGTTTCCAACGATCTCCATCTCCTGGTATTTATACCTTATATAGTCCCCTCCAATTCTACACATATGGAAAATCAACACAATATGGAAAAAGTGATAGAGTGTCCTTCTGAGGCTAGGCCATAAAAGATATTGTGATGATCATCTCAATCGATGCAGAAAAGGCATTTCATAAAATTAAACATCCAATCATGATAAAACACTAAATAATATAGCAATAGAAGGGAAATTCCTCAATATAATGAAGGGCATTTATGGAAAACCCACAGTTAAAATCATAGTCAATGGAGAAAGAGAGCTTCCTCATTAAGATCAGGAACAAGACAAGGATGTCCACTCTCACCACTGCTATTCAATAACATTCTAGAAGTCATAGCCAGGGCACTTAGGCTAGGGGAAAAAAGTATCCAGATTAGGAAGGACAAAGTAAAACTATCCCTTTTTGAAGGTGGCATGATCCTAT